TTAACTAACGAACGGAGACGTAACAATATATATATGTGTGTGTCCCTTAAACGTTTCTTCACCCAAAACCGTCTTATTTTTGTTAAGACATGGTTAAACCTCGCTTAACGATTAATATTTTGTCAGTTTATAGTAACTAACTATCCGATTAAAGTAGGAATAGCCCTGTTTTTCGGATTATTCTCTAACATTCAGGTTAACATCAGATTGGGATAACCACCGTCTCTTTTTGGTTCATTAAAAGTGTTCTGCTCTGTGTCAAGTATATTAGTTGTTTTTATACATTTAAGAAAAACAACTATCCACAGAATACATCTTAATTATATGTAGTTCTAAATTTTTCTTTCAACAAAGTAGAAACAACTTTCAGTTCTTAACATTTTATTTCAGATAAATAGATTGGTAAGCATAACTGATATTTTTCTAATTTTTGTGAAGACGACACCTCAATCTTTTCGTTCCTAAATATTAAAAACCCTCATAATCAGTAGCGACTAAACTAATAACCCTTCATTCTTGGTTCCCGATCTCTGATTTTATCGTCTTCATGATTTGGTGTAACTCATACACACACAAAGTGTCTTTACAGTACGTGTGTTTGTTGTCGATAAACACAAAGCTGCACAATGGACTACATGTACCGTTCCCACCGCAAGGAACGAACAACGAATTTTAACGTTGTAAACTTACCGCTAAGTCACCAGTATTTTATGTCTACTCAAAATATTAGGAATTTACCTTATATCTGTGGTTACGAAATGCCACAATTAAAATCCATCTTTGTGCTAATAATGAATTTCAAGTTTGTGTGTGGTGTGTGATTATAGGCCTATTAGTCTTAGATCGGTGGTAGAAAAAGTTTTTGAAAGTCTGATTGAAGATGCTTTTTAAAGTAATTTTACTTTAAAAGAATGAATTGTTCGAAAGGGTTCAAAAGAGGAATATTAGGATGATACCTGGGATAAAAAAGTTGTCACAGGAGGATAAGTTAAGATCTCTGAAATTGTTTTCTCTAGACAAAAGGAGAGTTAGATGGTATCTAATTTAGTTTTTATGATTGTAAAGTGAATTTATAATATTGATGCATCATCTTTTTTCGTAGTTAATGGTGAAAATGGTAAGACTGGGGATCACAAATATGAATTTTGGCAAAATAGGAGCCACCTTCATAAGACCGTTTTATTTTTCTAACATGGTTGTTGGCCTTTGGAATGAGTTACTTCAGATGTAGTAGGTGCAATTAATTTAAGGGAGTTTAAGGGAAGGCTTGTTAAATATTTCCATTACCGGTAAAGACTGGCTTAGGATGTTGTTGCTTTTTTAGTTTAGTAGAGTGAATGGAACGGCCTAGATGAACTAACTGGTCCCTTGTTGTCATTAAATTTTATTATCACCCTTTTTTACAGTAACATGTTTATATTCACATCTCCTACCTATGTAGGAACACGATCTTGAGTCACGTTATTTAATTATATAATGTTATTAGAAGAAGAAGAAGAATGTTAGGAAAATCGGTATACCAGCCTCTGATAATAAACTTAATAATATTTAATAATTGTTTAGAATATACCAATTTTAATAAAAGATTTGACTTTTTTCTTATTTTTGACGTCTTACTTGACAAAACAAAATCAAAAAGTCTTTTTCCTGCATTTGTCAAGACGTTTAGTTAAACCAAGTTTTTCTAGGGAGATTTTTTTCTATTGCTATTACATGATTGATACTGTTTTATGTATTATAAGCATTGTATGCTACAAATTTAAAACCTATGACATACATGTATCTAAATTGAAGGATAAAAAGATAATGATTTTGCAGGCATTTCTGAATCTGTCATATATTAAAGTAGTGTTGGTTTATGCCCATCGCTTGTGTAGTTATTATTACATAAACGTATCACATTATACGTAAGGTTTGTTTGTTTTGAATTTCGCGCAAAGCTACACGAGGGCTATCTGCGCTAGCCGTCCCTAATTTAGCAGTGTAAGACTAGAGGGAATGCAGCTAGTCATCACCACCCACCACTAACTCTTGGCCTACTCTTTTACCAACGAATAGTGGGATTGACTGTCACATAATAACGCCCCCACGGCTAAAAGAGCGAGCATGTTTGATGTGACGGAGATTCGAACACGCGACCCGCAGATTGCGAGTTAAGTGCCCTAACCACTTGGCCATGCCGTGCCTTATACGTAAGGTGAAGAGCAGTTATACTATACGCCAGATTTACTTAGCAAGCCACACGTTGCTAGGCTGTGATAACGTACTCAGATAGATCAGTGGCGTGGCGTGACTTTTTAGAAAGGATGTATATATATAGATATGCACATGTTACCTTATTTGAACTTTCAAGGCTAACAATCTTTAGATCAATAATACTGTTGTACTCTATGACGTATTTTGCTTTTGTTTCATAAGGTTTTAATGTACGAGAAATGAACAGCTTTATATATGCCTATATTATTCCTCAAAGGTTTTCCCATTTTTTATTTAACTATTCTGTATTGTGAATTGAATACTTTTGCTTGGAAACTGTTTAACTAGACAAGAAACTAATATCCCGCCATAAACTGTATAATTTCTCAAAGTTTTTACCGTATATAAATGAGACTTGGCTTGTTTGCCATGGTGACGTCACTTGTGGTGTACAGACAATTGGATACTAGATGTACTTCCGCAGGGTCACCGAAAGTGTTCTGTTTCAAGAGTAAATAAAAACAAGATTAAGAATAACAAATACTTTTATTTCTTGCTTTTGAAGTCACATGTCATGCTGTGTTGTAGCCTACAGAGTGCATAATTACTCTCATGATTTATGGCATGTACATATTTTACTGACGTCACGACAGTGCAAACTGCACATTAAGCGTCCCTTATGTGACGTTATTATAGTGTCTATTGACTGATTGACAGACAATACAGTACTAGGGGAAATAAACTGTCGCGCTACGTGATGCAACAGATATTATTGCATGCCTTGATAAAAAAAATAGCCGGGTTGCTTACATGCAGGCCTATGTATGTTTCATATTCTTAAAAATATTGGAGAATAAAGTTTGTTTCCGAATTCTGGACTACGTAATGCATGCGTTGCATACATAGACAACACGTCACTAGTGCATATTGACACAAGTGTCGTGAATATTTAGCGAGATATTGCTGGTTATTTGTTTATATTAATACACGCGTTAATCACTTAAACTTACTTCTGTCTACTGAACAGATACGTGACAACCTATTATACAACTTAAACTTACTTCTGTTTACTGAACAGATACGTGACAACCTATTATACAACTTACACTTACTTCTGTCTACTGAACAGATACGTGACAACCTATTATACAACTTAAACTTACTTCTGTCTACTGATCAGATACGTGACAACCTATTATACAACTTCATGGTTATAAGCGACTCCATTTTAAAATGTGTTAATCTAGTAAATCCATAAACTTTCATGGTAATTTTAGACATTAAAACTTATAAACAAATAACCTGGATTCAAAATATGAAGTCAGTAAGTTTAAAAAGCACGAATTTATAAAGTATAGTTTGCGTATGGTCAGAGTTGTTAGTAATGATAGAAAATTATGATAAATATAACTTGTTTTCTTCTTTTTTAACATTATCTGCTATCTATCTCTCTAGATAGAGATGGATAGGCAGATAGTATACGAGAATGTTATTGATTCTGCTTGAACATATATATATAAATATATTTAAAATAGAAACTAATCTAGCTTTATCTTGATTATTTCAGAGCGAACTTGGCTATATTGTTTTTATGCCAGTTCACCCTTTAATATACTGAATTTCCTCTTAATGTTAAAAAGGGCTTATCTATATACTTGCTCAAATATAATGTCAATATTCTCTTATTTTGAACAGGTAAGCCAGCATGTGATTTCCCGGGTGAACCAGCGAATGGACACATCATGCCAACAAAATTCCATTACAGAGTCAAAGAGATTATTACAGTGTCATGCAACAAAGGTTATCGTCGATTGGGATTTGAGCAGTTGCATTGCACTTCCTCAGGACACTGGTCAAGTCCCTTGCCTCATTGTCATCCTCACAACAGATGAACTAGGTGGTTTTTTTACCCTACTGGCTATTTGAGGAATTAAAACAAATACTTTCGAAGGATCGAACAAGTTGCAGTCAAATGAAGTTGTGATAAAACTTCAAACATGATAAATGTTTCAATTATTGCTGACCTTGTAAAAAAACAAAAAAAAATAACATTTCGCTGACCAGACACTTAATCAGATATTAATATAAAATATTATAACGAAGAGTTAAGATCAAATCGCCAAAACTTAATTAGGTTATTGTTTTACTTACTTTTTGTTTTCCAATTTTTGTGAATATGTGAAGTGTAGTTTTTTTTTTACTTATTACTCAACATTTACTTTTTATGTAATATGTCCTTCTAAGATTTATATAAAATGAAATATCTATCACTGTTTTGCTTGCTTAAAGATAAACCTGAAATAAGAGTTTAAAATTACTCTTACATTTGTGTGCGAATTTATTAGGACTTCTCAACAGTTGTTATTTTATGAGCTTTACACACAAGATAGTCACTTATGTGTTATACAAATTACGTTGTAATTGTTAAAAATTAATATTTCATCAAATTAATGCAAAATAATTTCTAAGTTCATTAAATGCTAATGTGAACATGTTTATAATTTGTTTCCTTTTTTTCTTAAAGCTACGTCCAAACTCTTTCTTCAGAATAGTTGGTACTTCTGTCAGATATGAGTATAGCGAGTCTCTGAGCTTTCTTTCTTTCTTTACCAAATATGCTCGACATTTCTTGGAATTTTTTTTCAGATAAATATATCTTTGAAACATAACATTCTGCCCAATCAGCTTCTTTCCAGAGGGTATAGCATAAGGGATTGTAATATACTGTGGTATGTATGCTGATCCTTGATTCCATCAGTTCTGATTATGACCCACACCATTTGCAGGTATTGCATCCTTAACCATCACAAAGTCTCCTCCATTCATTATTATTGTAAGAAGGCACTCCTTCTGCAACCTATCATTGACTCTTCGACGATCATGTACACGCCATTTGGAAACAAATAATTCAAATTTGAACTCATATGTCCAAAGCACTTTGGGCCACTGTTCCAAAGACCAAGATACATGTTGTTTTTTTTCACAAAGACTAGTCTCTTTGCTATATTTTCTTTGTGCATCAAGAACTTTATCGCTACTACCCTTCCTCAAGGCCACATTCTCGTTGCATTCTTGAGATTGTACTTCTTGAAATTTTATGTGTGAGTGACTTGCCAATGTCATCAGCAAGGTTTTTCGCAGTTTTCCTTCGATTTGTCAGGGAATTCGTTTTTACATACCTAACACCTCTTTTAGTGAGCTTCTTTCTTCAACCCCTGCCTTGTCATATTATAGAAATGGGTTACATTGTATCTGTTCAAGGCTTACTTCATAGTACTTTTGCAATTTGTCTTACACCTCAACCATCATCATGTAAAGATTTAACTATAACTCTGGGTGTTAATTCTTTCTGTTTTGGCATTTTAATGACAGCACCACACTATACTAGCTGTACTGGACGACGATTTTTAAAAATAAAAAATCACCCCTTACATACTCACATGTTCCTGCAAGAAAAACACAGAATGCGAAAATGTCAATTTTTTGTCAGTAATGGCTGGTACAGAAACTAGCGGCAATCATGAGTGACAATATTGCACAACCTTGTAATTAGATCAGATATATTGAACAACTTTTAATAAACCTAATGCACTTAATCATTTGTGGTTATATGTTGCTTTTCTCTTAAAGTTTAAAACAATTAAAGGTGTGGCATATTAACTCAATAATTTGCCTATTTTGATGCTTGTTCCAAAATTCTAAAGTGTAATGAATTTATTTCATAGGCACAACAGCAGCAGAACTACAGCAGCAATGGGGGTGCTCTAATAAATCTGTGCTATACTCTGCTTCTTTACGATAATACCTTTCAAGATCACAAACCTTTGAACTCAAAGACAAAGAAAAATTAATTTTAATGTCAATACTACTAACTTACTGCTTGGCTTCTTGTCAGTATTCAAAACTAGCGACGACGGCAGATACTCATAATAGCTTTTCCATAAATACAAAATTAAAAATGTTGTATTAAGATTAAAACAAAAGATTTAACTGAGACATTTGTTCTATTTATAACTAAATATTTGAAAAGTTTTACTAAGTCTAATACACTTAATAATAACTGTTTTATTTCTTAGTTGTTTAGGTTAAAATGCATGGTAATAGAGAGCTTGCTTGCCTTGCAGTTGTCCAGTTTATATTAGTTTTAACAGAGATTCAAAATATATTACAGGCGCGAAGAGAGAATAAAAAGATATTCCTCTGTCTCCCCAGACTTTAAATTACAAAAACGTCCATTCACGATATACGTCTTAAGCTTTTATCTTTTGGTAACATGAAAACTCTGTAACATGAAATTAATAGAACATGCTATGTTTTACGGTTATATATATACATTTTTTCTTTCAGTTCCAACAACTAGAAAGATGCGATGTAACATTAGACGAAATTTTAATGTCCTAAAACTGAATGAATAAATCGAGGTTGCGTAAAAATGTACATAATAGTAATTGTCACTAAAATATCTAATAGTTGTGGCTATGAATGAGGAGTGTATTAAGCTGATAAAGTATTTCTATGTGTACACGATATTGTAAAACTTTCGTTCGAGGTATCCAGCCAGCTCCTCACAACAACTTGTGAGGTCAGACAGACAGACAGACAACTAAGATTTATATATATATATATATTTGTTTAGTTTCAATTTCGCGCAAAGCTACACGAGGGCTATCTGCGCTAGCCGTTCCTAATTTAGCAGTAAAAGACTAGAGGGAAAGCAGCTAGTCATCACTACCCACCGCCAACTCTTGGGATGCTTTTTTACCAACGAATAGTAGGATTGGTCGTTACTTATAACGCCCCTACGTATGAAAGGGCGAGCATGTTTGGTGCGACCCTCAGATTGCGAGTCAAGCGCCCTAACCACCTGGCCATGCCGGGCCGTATATATGAAAGTTATGGAAGTTTCTGTCTAAATGTGTTATATCTAAACATAAGACACGTATGTTTATTTTGGACGTGGATAATTCATATAAAAACTGAAAAAGAATAATAATATTGGTGACCTATGCGTTTCTTGACTGTTAACGTATGAATATAACTTAACTAGCAAATCTACCTGTTCCTCGCACGAGGTTTATCTTGTTGACGCCACTTTCTTTTGGCTTCGGCTTCGCGTAGTAAAAGTTCAAAAGGCTACCCAAATCGAACCGTTTGTTCAATTGCGGTGTTTGGAAGGACAGCTGAATATAAACTTGTGACGGTATGACAGACGGAGAATTCTGATCGAAGGTTTCCTGTAGCAAGTAAAACGTCATGGCAAAATATTTACACCATCTTCCAGCTTTTCTAAGGTTTATAATGACCTCTCAAGTATATTATATTTCATTTTGTTCTGAGCTTAAATTTGATTCATTGAAAGCACAGACCAGATGACACCCATAATTAAGAGACAATTAAAAACATGTATACAAAGTCGCATGGATAAATATTATATAGAACTTTCAACAAACATAGCTACCGCGTTATAAGATCTGGTAGTACAAGGAAATTATTAAAACAGTTGCAAGAAAAATCAACTAAATGAACCATGTAAAAATATTTTTTCCCATACAACGGTTTTACCCAGTTCTCTATACCAAGCAGTTATTGATTTCGTTTTGCCTTTAGTTGATAGAATTGATGATGAACTGTGTCTGTAATTTAGGCGTTGTCCATCACCTCCTACACAGTAATTTTGAGAACTTATAACGCTAAGATACGGGGTTCGAATCCTACGTGGGCACAGCCCAGATAACCTATTGTGCAACTTTGCGATTAAACAAGCCCCCCCCCCCCAGTAGCACAGCGGTATGTCTGCGGACTTACAACGCTAGAAACCGGGTGGGTAGAGTACAGATAGCCCTTTGTGCAGCTTTGTGCTTAATTACAAACAAACAAGCAGGCGATGGTTTGACAAACGACCGACCATGCCACATAGTACCTTGGCTAGGCAAGACATTTATAAGGAACTTAGTAATTCTCATTGAACAGCTATAGGTCCTTCACTAATTGAATGCCAGCAGTATTTTATCATTTATTTGTGTATTTACGGAGTTTTATTTAGTTTAATATTAATAAGTAATGAAAATTTTAAAATTAAAATCTATGCAATGAAAATACTTAAAATAAAGAAACTACTGTTAATTATTTATTTTTCACATACATTTTCTTGGGGGTCAGCTGTAACTTTTTGACTTACAATGCTAAAATCCGAGGCTCCAGTCCACCTGGTTGACAAATAACCTAATAATTAATTTTACGCTAAAACCCCAACAACCCCAACATTGTGATTATTCTTTAATTAATTATATTAGATAATATCCGAGATACACTTCCATATGTTACATGTCTATAACATACAAAATCCTGAAGTCTTCTTATATAGTTATAGTGTAAAATACCAACAACTAAAAAATTATTTTTATTCAAAGCATTTGCTTGCTCTCTTTATTATTTTTTTATTTAGTGAAAAATAAAATCAATAACTGCTTTGAATTTTTCTAAAAGAACACCAGTTTATAATGTCTAACAAGAAAGAAAACAAGAGAAGTAAAATAACAAAAACAGAGGTAATGAGATATTAATTAATCTTTCAGAGATACAGATGCAGAAACTTTAGAACAAAAGAGAAAACTCGCAAATTGAGATGAAGAAAATAAATTTCATAGAAGCCTTCCAAAATGTTTTCTTTTTGACTAACAAAGGGATATTCAAGTTACGATTTAGAGTTACTGAAACTAATCTGAGAAGACAAATCGTCAACCGTATGATGCCGTCCGAGCTAGTTGAAAGTTGTGATAATGCGAAATACGAAAGACGATTCTTATTGGACTTCATCCAAGAGTTTTTTTTGTTGTTGTTGTTGTCGTTTTTGTTGTTTTTGCTGCTGCTTTTCTTTTTTGTTTGTTTTGATTTTTTAACAAACAACTGATTATATCAAATGAGAGAAGCCAATTACACCTGATGTACTCATAGACCTAACGATAATAAAAGCAAACAGAGACATCTTTAGATAAAAGCTAAATTCTGGGAGCTTTAAAGACAGTAGTTTAAACTGTATTGATTGGAAAACTGAAGAAAGCAGAAAACGTTACTGGATTTTTTTACTTGTGCCCACGATTGCATTGAGCAA